ACCCCCACCGGCCCGGGGGCGAGGGCAATAAGGGCGGGCGACGGCTCGTGTTGCCTTGCCAGCTGTAACGAGGACTCGAGAGCCCTCGCCAAATCCGGCATGGGCCACGACACCTTCGCCAGATCTAGTGAGGCGAGGGCATCGCCTAGGCCGTCGCTGGCCACAGGAGAGGGTGTCGCGGCCCTCACCCAGTGGCTGGCCACCTCCGCTAGCCTCATCGGCTCAACAAAGCAGAAAGGAAAAAAAAAATCAATAAAAAAATTCGAATTTTTTTTTAAAAATAGAAAATTATCCACGTCAGCTCCACGTAGGACGGTCGGCACCAACTGGACCACCACGTCAGCGATTTTCGGCCAAAATTAGTCGGAAGGACTAAATTGGCAATTCGCTAAAAAAATTAGGATTAAATTGGCAAATAGTCAATAGGTTTAGAACTAAATTGGCACAATTGAAAAGCTTATGATTGAATTGGCAACTTTTTAAAAGGTTTAGGATTGAATTGACAAAATTAAAAGGTGTAGGACTGAATTGGCCGCCGTATAATAGGTTTAAGACTTTTTGGACAATTTTCCCTATTTGGACGAGGAATTTCGTGATCATTGTTTATCGACCCCTGCACTTGGCAGGACACGGGCATGCCTGAGCAGGGAATTCGAATAGGTAAACCGCATGGTCATCTGTTATTTCTCCAATTCTAGAAACCATTTTCAAATTCATGGAAACCTAGGGCGCGTTTGGTAACGCTTCTGTTTCTCTATTTTTCTGTTCTTCTGTTCCCTGGAACAAAAAAAAGAACAGAAATCCGTTTGGTAACGCATTTTATTTTTCTATTTCCTGAAATAGAAAAGTGGCCAAGAAATAGATTTGGAGCAGAAATAAGAAGTAGAAAAAATCTGCTTCTTTGTTCCTAGAAATAGAAATAAAAATAGAAAGGTCCGGTCCTCAAGCCACGACCTCAGCTCCTCCTCCATCCTCCGTCTTCTGTAAACCGTCTCAAAGCACCGGTCCGGTCCATTCTCGGCGGAAATAATAAAAAAATTATAAAAAAATTAAAAAATTCCAAAAATTCATAAAAATCAGAAAAATTCTCAGAAAATCCATAAAAATCAGAAAAACTCAGAAAACCCATAAAAATTTGCAAAATTCCGAAATTGAAAAAATTTAAAAAAATTCATAAAAAGCTTTCTGGAAAATAAAAAGAGACAAATTTCGGGAAAGTAAAAAGTTTTAATAAACTTTTCCCCAAAAAAAACAAAAATAAAAAATTCACATAATGGCTTAGAATAAATTAAAAAATTCCGAAAATTCATAAAAATTAGAAAAATTTCAGAAAAATCCCATAAAAAATTAGAAAATTAAAAAATTCCCAAAATTTTTTAGGTGCCCAAGTGGTATTTTTGAAGATTCTTTAGTTTAGGGATTAAAAGGGGTTTTAAACCCCTAAAAAGGATTAGACAAATCAATAAATCATGCTTATTGATTTTTTCACTTATAACTTGTACTTATAGTTAAATAAAAGATATAGATTTGAATGCAAAAAATTGGGAATAGAAATTTTGTGCAATTACCAAACGCATTTCTGTTCTTTTTCTATTCCAGGAATAGAAATTTTGTGCAGTTACCAAACACATTTCTGTTCTAGAAATAGAAATTTTGTGCAGTTATCAAACGCATTATTTTGCTCAGAAACTCTTCCAGGAAATAGAAATAGAAAAAACTATTTCTGAAAAGAAATTGTTTCCAGAAATAGAAACGTTACCATACGCACCCCTAACGGCCATCCAAGAAGTTGCACCATCCAAAGCTGCAACAACGGTTGCATCTACTTCTGGATTAATTGCGACATTGATAGGCGCAACTTGGGCAAAGTCAGAGCTCTATTTTCTCTTACTAGCAGGCTGCAGCAGAGGCTGCTCGAGCGGCCTCAATCGATATTAATCTTTTGACTATTGCACCGAAGAATCTCTGGTGGGTACAAGTTCTCTTGTTCTTTCCTCTAATCTCTAGTCGACCCTCACGCAAGTGAATTGTCACTTAACTGTGTTCACATGATAATGACACATGATTTACGATGATTATGTCAGGCAAACTTTGTGAGTTGGGAACCACGTCCCGGCTGGTTCGGCTTTCGCCATCCGTGGAAGCAATATCTAAAGATTGGAGCTTTGATTCGTTAGTGTGCCTTTAGGATTGAAGCCCTCGATGGCTACCTCACCACTAAATTCCATGTAAGTCGATGTCTAATTGCATTGACTAGGAACAAGTATTTAGGTGCACCGGGCCACCCCAATTCCTATACTTTATTAGATCATGCGGGTCTCATGAGTCCCATCTCATTCAACGGTGTATATGAGTTAGACTCATCGCACGAACATCTGTTAGTTTCCTAGCTCTAGAAATCACGGAAACCTAACGACCACCCAAGAAGTTGCACCATCCAAAGCTGCAACAACAGTTGCCCCTGCTTCTGGATTAATTGCGACGATGGTGGGCGCAACTTGGCAAAGTCAGAGCTCTAATTTCTCCCCGCTAGCTGGCTGCTGCAGAGGTTGAGAGAGCATGCTTGAGCGGCCTCGATCGATATTAATCTTTTGACTATTTGCACTTTGCCACTTAATGAGCCAATTGGACGAGCCAAAGTCAATGGCCCTTTATGAGGGTGTTAAGACTGGTAAACGTAGCTTTTGCTTTTGTCAGGCTCGATAGAGATGTATACTTTTCTAATTAGCTAGCTCCTTCTAGATGTTATATTAAGGAATATTTGGGAAGATATTAGTGCATGTACATTGACTTGAGCCTCCAAATGGGTGCTCGTGATATGAGAACAATTGTCTAAAAAGATTCTAAATTTATTACACTTTTACCAATTTTATCATAAACATTGCAATTTTATCAATTAAGTGCTAAACTTTTTGACAATTTATCAATTGAGTCAATTCGTCCAATTCACCCCAGAAAATGTTTACGTGGATACCTAGTGAGGGTCGGCCATCCTACGTGGCCGGACCAGTTCTGACGTGGACACCGGACATAAAAAACGGTGACGTTTTTTTTTGTTATTTTTTATTTTTGGGCAAAATTACCTCAAATCAAAACACGATGTAAAAGCTCCACACTGAGATGACCTAATTTGCACACCCAACTCCAAAAATTAGAACGCCGCTCCATCCACGGCGTTAATTGGTATCCTATAAGCATTTTTTGGCGTAAATTAGCCGGATGGACTCAATTGGCAAATTGTCAAAATGTTTATGACTCAATTGACAAAATTGAAAGGTTTAGGGCTGAATTGGCAAAAGTGCAATAGATTTATGACTTTTTTGATAATTTTTTCCGGTGATATAGTGTATGATTTCCTATTTCATTAGGGGATTTCTTTCTTATCTCTGATTTAATTAGCAAATTGTTTTTTACTAAAATCGGGGGTTAGGTGCAAGTAGCTCTATATATACTGGCTTTTCAAATCTTTCTATTTAGCTTTGCATGATTGGATACGTTGATATTGAACTTTCCCTTCTCGAGTTCTTCTCTGCTTGTCTCCTAATTCTTCTCTCCAAACATCCTTTCCTTTCTTACTATTTAATTGTCCTCCCCTCTCTCCGGTTGCAGGCCTTTCTCTCATTTCCCGCTTTCTTCCTGGATCAATTGTCGATGCCATCATTGAACTTTCGATTAATTCAATTATGTCTTTGAAATTTGATTTAATGTGCAACGCCATCATCTCATTTTTTTATTTTTAGTGAAATTTGTTGAAATAGACACCAATCTAAGGAAACAAAATGTCAGATGGGGCAAATTGTATAGGCGGATTTCATCTGTGTGATATGTACTTTTCTTTTTTGTTTGAAGCTGCAAATATAGGACATTATTTTTAACTTTGTGTATTCACTTTGACCAAATAATTTTCCCTTCAATATAGATCACTCTACTTAGACAATTTTCATCCACTTAGCATCGTGTCATATGCACGATCCTCGCTAGGATAAAGTAGAGAGAATTTGTTGTTCTCGTTTGGAGCATAGTGAACAACTATCCCTCGTTTTCCATTTCACGCTATTTAGAGCTTCCATTGACATAAAGATGTCAAGCAGGGAGAATTTGCTGTTTTCTTTGTCGGTATTGAATCAGTGGTTTTGTCACTAAAAACCCTTCCACTGACAAAAAAGATGCCGTCGGCCATTTCAAAGTAATTCAAGGGCCTAGTAAAAAAGTGGAAAGGTTAAAAGTGATATTAACTATTGAACAAAAATATCAGGAATCCGATTGAAAATTCATAAATGATGTTGCGAATTTGCCAATAATTCAAAGACCAGGATCCGTCCCTTCTTTGAGCAGCCCACCGAGCCATAGTCATCCACCATTTGCTAACATGCCTCCATAAACAAAGCTCGTCCTCAGCTCGCACCATCATAGTTCTCTCTCTCTCTCTCGTGCTGTCCCCCGTTGTTACTGCCTCCCGCTCTCTCTCCTGCTCTCTCCTGGTGGAGCTCATCCCCCTTGATAGAGGTGGATGCCGCCGTGCTCCATCTTCTTTCTGCTAATCTCCACGAGAGAGGTTGGTGCTTGGCGTTTAGAAATCGAGTTCGAATGAGCAAAGTGAAACTCTCGTGAGATAAAAAAAAACAAAAAAGCATGCTGCGCGATTCAGCGATGGGGCACAATTGAGCCTGGCGTGCATTCATCCTACGAATCGATCCGTTTATGGATTACGTGCTAAGACTTCTTCGTGTACGGTAGAATTTACTCTCAATTAATGGGATAAACGGTGGAAAACATGAACGCATGACCTCTATTGACCTCCTATACGGTTTCACTAAACGCGCATTCATTAGGTCAACGACAAAAAACCCACTTCATAGGGAACTGAGAAGTGGTGCTCCGTCTCCCACGTGGCGCACGTGAGCTGGCATCGATCTCTCTGATCCAGCACGTCGCCAACTTCCGCGCATTACGTTGGTCCCACCCAGGCACCCACCATGCCCAAAAAGAAGCAAGGAAAAGAAAAATCAAATCATAGAGTGATCTTCGCTTCCACGTGGCATTGCCAAGCCAGCCCCCCATTTTCCACTTGCAGTCAAACCCTCCCCCCCACTCACGAGCTGTCTTCCGCCAACAAGATCCAACCAATCGTCGTCATGTCTTACGTCAGACCTCCTCGAACTTCTTCCTCTTTGTCTCGCGCTCTAGTCTCAACTTGGACTATTGTATTGTCCATCTTTGTCAATCGCATCAATCTCACCCCTCCTAAGGACCTACGTGAGGTCCCCATTTAATTCTAAAGTAAAACTTCAATAAAAAGAAAATTGTATCGAATGTCTACAGCTTTTTTCGAACCAGTCCCAATGGCCACACACGAGTGAATTTGTCTAGCATGTTGTCTGCTTTTCGTTCCTCGCATCGGACGGGTTGGCTCATCTACTGCTCAGCTCGATGGACCGGAAGCTCGCGGACCCGAGGTCCTTGTACAGGCCGGCGGCCAGACCGTTTTCGTCTGCTAAATGTCCCTTCAACCCCCTCCTCCTCCTCCACACCCGATAACCCATCAACCCAAACCCGCCCGCTACCGCTATCCCTATCAGGACCCACACCAGGACCCCGACCCCGAACCCAGCCTCGTAGCCCTTGCCCTTCCTGGCCCGCGCAGGCTTCACCTTGAAGTACCCGATCTTGGTCTGGTCCGAGACCTCGAGCAGTGTCTGGATAGGGTAATCTATTGTGTAACAGAACTGCGTGGCGTTGCTGTACACGGCACCCCAACAGCTGCAGTTGCTCTCGCACGCGCGCTCGCAGTCATCTAAGGACGAGACCGACACGTGCCCCATCAGCTCCTTGAACGGCAACTCCACGCCGTTACGCCTCAGCACCGAGGAGCCGCCACTTCCCGACCCTCCGCCTCCGCAGAAGTCGCCCGAACCCGGCGCGGAGCATGAACCAGGACGCGCCTCGGTCCGGTTGTCCAAGCAAGAGCAGGTACTGTCCGCCGAGCACAGGCTGTACAGGCCGCAGGGGCTCGGCAGCTCGCAGAAGCCGGAGATGGCCTTGTAGTTCATGGCCCAGGTCGACCCGGTCCAGTAGTAGCCCTTGAGGTTCCCGTCCGATTCCAACCGGAGCATGAGGAAGGAGTCGATCTGCTTCTGGAAGCTGTTGAAGGCCTCGACATCGACGGGGACGCTGCTGTTCTGGTACATGGCTATGAACCCGTCCGGGTCGACCCGGGCATAGACCGGGCCGGCCCCGTCGACCACCTGCGCTTTCGCCTCCAGCGCCTTGTGCTCCCAATACATTTGGTCCGAAGCGCCGTCGAACTTCGCGTAGAGGGCGAAGAAGTCGCTTCCCATGCGCATCGAGTAGAGCCCGTTCGACGACGTCAGCGACATGGCGGCCGTGAAATTCTGATTCTCCACGAGGGTGTCCGCCGGAAAGTCGAAACTCTGCCATACAACGACCGGGGTCCCGCCGTCGCCGTCACTCTGCTTCTGGACTTGAAGATTCGAGCTGTTCAGGAGCACGACCCGGTCACCGTCGGTGCCCGTTGACCAGAACACCCCCGACGAGGGGTCCGAGACTACGATGCTGCCGTTGAAGGAGAGCCGGGTGCTGCGGTCGGACCACCCGGCGGTCCGGGCCTGGTCGGCGACCCAGACGGGATGCGAGGACGGCACGTGGACGACGGCGAGGGCGAGCCTCGTGCTGTTGACTCGGAGGAAGCTCAGCGAGAAGTTGCCGGTGGGGTCGGTGAGCAAGGGTTGGAAAGCGGCGACGGAAACCCTCGGGGCGGCTTCGAAGCCCCTGCGAAGCTCCTGCGAGCCGGCTCGGAGGAAGCAGAGCATCGCGAGGATCGAGAGCCGGGCGATCGCGTCTAGAAGAGACGGTCCGATCTTCATGATCGACGCCGCGGAGGTCCGAGAAGCCGGAGAGAGGATAGAGATGGAGAGACTTCTGCATGGATCCATTCACGGGCACGGCCAAAACGCCACTTATGTGAGGGATGTACAGGGGGACACTTCGACAGATAAATCTTTTGCACTTGAGAAGATCGAGAAGGTCGAGGTATTATTGTTTAGTCGCTAGTTGCTGTAAGAATAAGGCGTCCATCCACCGAAAGTAAAGGAATGGGTTCGGATTTCAGACATTACAACTCTGACGTGGACGTGGGCTGGTGGTGCAACTTGCGCAGCCGCAGCTTGACGCTACTTCTGGCTACATGTTTTGATTTGATAAAATATTCGAAAACGTTGAGTTTGGTTTATTTCCACTAGATGTAGGTGCACTTATTATGAAAACTATTTTCATTTTTCACGGACTGTCTTTATGATATGCTTTCTTCAAGTGCATATATGGTCAGAACTTAGCTCGTTCGTGGAGATGCAGTAAGATTAAAGTTTTGCAGGTCAAACATCTGCGTCAGCTTCTTGATATTAGAAGTGCTAGAGATTACTTGATTGTAGAACTTTGGGTGATTATGTGACGTGCCATGTTAATAAATCTGTTTTCTTGTATCTTGAGGACGAAGTTCTTGACTTCCTTAAATTTAAAGAGTAGTGCCTGGATAAAATAAAGCACGAGCCTTTGAGTAGAGCACCTAACCATGAAACTCTCCCTAGGTTCCACACTTTCTTGCTTCGGAGTGTATCTAGATAAATTGTTTATCTCGAAATTTTCATTTATCAAGAAATAGACCAACATATATCTTAATGTTCCCCTCATGTATAAGTCAGCTTGCAATATGAAAAGCAAGATATGGATGTGACTTACTCGGCGAGATAAATAGAGAGGGAAAACACATAGGAATATCAGGCAGTATAAATGTGATGAACATAAATGAACCATCTAGCCTGAAGTTCAAGCCTAGAAAACGGATCGGTACTCTGTGTTTGGTGAGCTAATCTTACGTTCATGTAAACCTACCACACTATAAGCCACAGATCATGTCGACCTCAAGAGAAACCCACTAAATCTAATAATGAATATATCTTAGGCTTACATGGGCATCACATGCATGTAAATACTTTTCGTTAGTTTAGTGCGACTTTCATTTCCTTTTCTTTTTCTTTTTCATAACTCTCCAACTTGACTTCTACTTAAACGCTGAATGCCCAAGATCTTTCAGACCACATGACAGTTGAATTTGCAGGATCATTCAATTTTTACATAGGTTTTAATGTTCAAAAATATTTATTTCGGTTCGCATCTTTTGGAGGGATTTCTTTCTGAAGTGGAAGCAAACACATGCTGAGGAGTGGACCATGACAATAATAATGCGAAAAGGGAAGACCATTTCTCAGCAATGAATGTGAGATCTGTCGAGAGGTCGAGACAAGCATGGCACGCGAAACGTTGACTGTTGAGCAACCACAATTTTAAAGGCAAGAGTTGACTAAATTCAGTGGGTCACCGCTCGTCCTTTAATGGAAATCAGTACGCTGGTTGACATTAAGAATTCAACCTAGACAAGCTCGCTCCAACAATATTTGCTATTTGATGTAACTTCTTAATTTGTAATGGTAATTCGAAAATAAGGCAATAGAGCTCTTTGTCTTCCAAGTTTGACATGTATTTCCCTCCATTTCATGCTATTAAATCGATTCCACGGAAAGCCGTGATATCATTCTATCTCGCCGAACGAATTCTAAGTAACCAAATAAGGCATTGAGGTTATTTCCTTTTATGAGCGCCCCAAACTCCTATAAAATCTAGACAACAAGTGGTGAAATCTCATCTGGTGAGGCCAAAAGGGTGGAGGGAAATTGTTTAGATGAGAAGTGTCAACGATAGGCCACCAGCACGCATATGTTTGACTTTTTGGGCCATCGATTCTTCCCATGTTACTCTTCAGTGAGCAAAAATTGTCAGCTCAATCTTTACACATGCAAGAAAGGGAGCATCTAACTAAAAAAAGGAAAATGACACGAATGGTTCCCAAACTTTGGTCCAATATATATTGTGTTCCCTAAATATTTGATTTGTTCAATGTAATCCCCGAACTTTAAGACAATGTGCAATGTAGTCCCTAAAATTTTAATTTGCTAAATGTTATCCTTGAACTTTTAGTACATGTCCGATTATGTTTAATGTTGCCATTCATTTTGAATTAATGGAAGGAAAATATTAAACATTTTCATTTAGTTCAGGGACTATATTGAACATGTACCAAAAGTCCAGGGATCCCATTGAACAGATTATAAGTTCAAGGACCACATTACACATTGGGTTAAAATTCAGAAACCACATTGAATAAATAAAAGTTCAATGACCACACTGCACATTGAAACAAAGTTCAAGGACCATCTATGCCATTATCCCAACTAAAAAAGCATGATGCACTGCCCCGTCCTACTTCTAAGTCAGTTTGCAAGGCGAGAGACGGTCTTTTTTACGTTATCGTTCCCTTTGTAAAGCTCAAAGTCGCGCGACAGATAGGAAGATCCTGATCTATTCTTAAATTTTTGGTGACTGTCCAACCATTTTGGGTTGACCAACCCCTCGTTTCTAATTTAATCAGGGTCATAGGTTGATGAAGTATATTAGCAAAGAAAGGCGTGACTTCACCATAATCTCTAATTGAAACATCCAAGTGGAGGCTCATAAGTTATTGGGTGCGGGGAGGTACTATTCCCACGCCTCTTGTCTATGTAATGTCCCCGATCCCCCCATTCAATTAGCAAGTGGACTTTCGCCACATTGTACCTGCCAAAACATACACACTGCACAGGCTGCGACTTATTCTGCCGTGGGCTATCGATGCGCACCGCTGCGCCGTCACCATCACCGACTATCTCTGATCCGTTCTCCTCACTGGCCCTTGACCGGCAGTCCTTGCCACCTCTAGCTTGAGCACACGAAACCGTGACTTCAAATCAAGCTTGTCAAAGCTTGAAATCAATCTTATGGGCGTCAAGGCCTTGGGTAGAGGCTAATGTGAGATCCACAATCTCAAATTGGCCTTGATTTGAGGTCGTCGGTGCTCACCGGTGGCCTCCATCGCTGAGCGACGGGTAGTGCGGGCATGAGAGAGAGAGAGAAAGAGAAAGAGAGGAGGAGGGTTTTGAATTGGATGTTTCATGACATGTGCAACTCTGACCATTCTTTAAATAAAAATAGTAGATGGAAACGGTACACGAGTATGCATAGTACTTCCTCTCCCAGAATCGGTAAACATATCAATGGCATAAATCGTCTAGAAAGTCTCTCTCTGTTTTTTTTTTTTTGGTCGAATCTGGAAAGTCTCTTGCATTTTGAGCTCTTGATGATGATGCCTCTTCGGTCAGATTTCGCCATCCTATAATGAGTTGCTCGCAACTCTTGCACTATCCTCCTCACGTATTGAAAGTCCATCGCATTTGATGCATTGCCAACATTAGAATTTAAGTTCTTCAGTTCTCAATGGAATAAAATTCTATTGGCAGTGTTCAAAAGTAGAAATTTTCTTCCATGCTGGTAAATTTACTTAAATGTTAGCGGCTTCCAAAAAACTGTTGTTAAAAAAAAGGACTCGTGATTCTTTTTTTCCAGTTAACTTGTCCAACTTACGATTTTATCAGATTACCAACTTTTTTTTTTAGAGTTTGCATATTACCAACTTTTTTACTAACACATCAAGTTTTATTTGCATAGCTTCTGACGCTTCAAATTTGCTAACTCTTATTAAAAAATTGTCAACCTAAATTTGAGTGACTTAGGCTGCGCATGACAACGATTCTGTGCCCGGGAACAGATTCTGCTCAGAAATAATTCTTTTTTATTCTGTGCCCGGAATTGATTCTGAGCATTTTAAGGCGTTTGTTAACGGTCCAAAATTTCATCCCTGGAATAGAAAAAGAATAGAAATGCGTTTGGTAACGCCACCAAATTTTTTTTATTAATAATATTTTTAAATATTTTAATATTTCTTTCTTTTTTTTCTTTTCCTCCTTCTTGGCCATGGCCTGGTCGCCGGCCATGACCGGTAAAATATTTTTTTATTAATAATATTTTTATTAAAAGCATTTTTTCTTTTTTGGCCATGGCCTAGTCGCCGGCCATGACCGGTAAAATATTTTTTTTATTAAAATATTTTTATTTGTTTTTGCCATGGCCGGTAAAATATTTTTTTTATTAATAATATTTTTTATTAAAATATTTTTATTAAAAATATATATTTTTATTTTTTTTGCCATGGCCGGTAAAATATTTTTTTTATTAATAATATTTTTTATTAAAATATTTTTAGCATATATATATATATATATTTTTGGCCATGGCTTGGTCGCCGGCCATGGCTGATAAAATAATTTTTTTATTAAAATTTTTTTATTAAAAATATATATTTTTCTTTTTTTGGGTCATGGTCTGGTCACCAGCCATGGCTAGTAAAATATTTTTTATTTTAATAATATTTTTTATTAAAATATTTTATTCTCGTCAGATCCGGCGAGGGCGTTCCTCGGGCTGGACATTAGAAGCTACATTAAAAACCAAGAAAAGAAAGAAGAAAAAAAAATTGATTCTCAAAATTGTTCCCAAAATCAAGAAGTTACTTTTTTTTTTATTCTTGAAAACTGATTCTGGGAACAATTTTTGACAAAATTGTGCCCAGAATCAAAAAATTAAACAAACGCATTTCTGTTCCCAAACTGATTCTGGGAACAAAAGAACATAATCAAACACTGTTTAGCAAGTTGTCATGCGCAGCCTTAGACTTATAACTTGTTGACACCTAAATTTTAACTAGTCATTTAGGAACAATTGCATAGAAAATTAGGGATTGATTTTTCAACCCCTAAACAAAAAATATAATTAGATGGCATTGCATATAGATATTAGGAGCATTCCATTAATAGTTAATTAGGCCCATATAGTTTGCATATTTATCGGACCGACGGCGAATGGACCCGAGCGAATGGTTTCGAGCTTAAATCAAGCTAATTGAACTAAGCCCGCGAGAACTAGAAAGGTTGGCAAAAGCCCATGCTATGACCGAAAGTTTGATGGACTCAGAAAATTCTTCTCCACGGTATGGTCAAATAAATGAAAGGAAATAATAGCATGCAGGGCACGTATCGTCTTCACACATATCTTTGATTTATGGGCACAAGT